CTATAATTAAAAGCCAAAAATCCCACAAGATGGTTCAGCTTGGCCGGGCACGGGTTGGGTTGGCACGGGAACTGATGGAAAAATACTCCAGAGCCTCACACATACCCTGTGGACTGACAGATCAACAGACAGACAGACAGACATGTTGACAGAGAGATCAATAGTCAGCCAAACTTCAACACAAGCTGAGCGAATGAGGCATGAAGGCAAGCTATAATACATGGAGAATGTGACATGCAGGCAAATTAAATGAGTGAATATGACAGACTGACGACAAGGAGCACTCCAAGAAAATGTGTGCTTGTATCCTGTGTTTGTGAATGAGTGAGAAAGTGAGGGGAAAAGTGAGCCAAGCACAACCCCAGAAAGGAGGGCGGTCATACAAGTGCACACACACACACACACACACACACATACTTACACAGGCATCCTGATCCCAGATGAGGTTTGTCTCTGCTGCAGCCAAGCCAGACGGGAGGAGAGGTGGAGCTTTCTGATGCTGCAATTAGGACCGCACTGTCTGGGCGAGCAAACAAGAATGAATATTTCAGTCTGGAGATCGCCATGGGTACCTATGGTGGGGGCCTGGCACACCTACAGGCACACACACATACACACGTAGACACATCCACACACAGACACATAGACAAATACACAGCTTACCAGGGCTGCCAGAATTAGTCACCTCCCAATCACAGATGCCACAATTATCACATCAGTATCACTGCATAAACGATGCCAACTGTTATGCTCACTGAACTATTGTACAAGGTTTACAATATCAGTATAAATATGCATCAGCAGGAGCCGTCATAGTATGTGGCTGATGTTTTCTGCTTTGTGAGAATAGGCGCAACGAGCATCCACACTTGGCCACACGCCAGGAAACAACAGCGCCGGTAGAGCAGAGGTCAGATGCAACCTAAATCTCTTCTCCTTTTTCTCAGCTTTTCTCGCCTCCTCTTCCAGAGAGTACTCACCTAACGCAGTCACCTCTTCTGGCTCTTCAGCATTTTTAAACTGTGCTTCACTTCAGAAGCTCCAGTGTGCACGTCCTCTTCAGCGCACTCCCAGTCACACACAGGATTCGTACAGTAGGAGCACTCCCTCTGGTGTGGGTTCATTGTCGATGCTTTGCGCAGCCCCCTTCCTGCCCCTCTGTCCTCAGCCCCATCTCCACTTGATTTATCGCTCTAAAATACCACTGCACTAATTAGTCAAGTAATTAATTAATAGGCATTTGCATTTGTGCATATGCAATTAGGGGGCTAGAGAGAGGAGAGTGCAGATGGGGTCCGGGAGTCAGGTAGAGGTGGGAGGGTCTATGTGTGTGTGTGTGTGTGTGTGTGTGTGTGTGTGTGTGTGTGTGTGTGTGTGTGTGTGTGTGTGTGGTGTGTGTGCTGTATTTCATATTTGTGCCAGCAGAAGTTTCTTTCTTCTAGAAAGACAAGTGAAGTGCAGGCCATCACCTCACATCTCTGACAGTGAGAAAAGGAAGAAGGGATGGGGAGGTGTGGCTTGATGACTTTGAAAGGCTATTGGGTGTTATTTGACCATAGAGAAAAATAAAGAGTGAGGGACATGTTTATATCTTAAAGGGGAAGGGCTTCAATTTTGCATTATGATTACATGCATTTAGCCTATGAAGAAGCACAGCAGGTGGCCGTTACTTAAGACTAATCCACATACAAACAGGATGCAAAGTCATTCTAAAATATCATAATTCCAAACAAGCTCTCCTCCAGCATTTCAATATCAGATCAAAGCCTCTCTGATTGGAGTCGCCTTGAGCCTGGAGCTGGCTAAAGCCATGCTGTTGACATTTAGCATTTATTTTGGCAAGGTGACCTGAAGGTTCACTGGGACTTGTTGAGAACCATTGTCTCCCCCCACTTCCACCCCAGTGAGTGCAGCTGAGGTAGGATAGGACACCAATTTGGCTGGCAGAGAAGCTTGATACCCCTTTACTCCCCCTCCACAAACACAGAGACACTGATACAATCACCCTACCACAGTCTGAGGGCAGTGCCAGGTTGCTATCCCCTCATCCCATAAGGGATGAGACACATTAGTAAATGTATAGCATCACAGCTCCCGAGCCACAACTGCCACACTACTAGCAACCCTGGGGATGACCTAGCAAACCCCTAAACACTCGCTCAGCTGTGGCTGTGGAATAGACGAAGGGTGATTCAGGCCCAAGGACGTGATGAGCTTCTATCAGCTATCTCTCAGCCTCCAGGTCCCTGTTCCCTCTGTCCAGTGGGTCTTTTTGTGCCAAGTTGGACTTGTTGGTCATTGAGCTCATTTCTCCCACATTAACTCCACTAATGTCTGCTAAATAGAGAGATTTCTGAGCTGGGGCGGACACAGTGCAGCAAAGCAGGGACCCGGATGCTGGTGGTGAGGAATTCTTGCATCTATGCCACTAATATACCAACATGCCGCCTCTTAAATCTCGGGCACCTCTGCCAGCTCCGACCAGCACCAATTCCCTGGTCATACAGCTACACCCCCACCTTCTCCTCAATTTTCATGTATCCCTAGTGGGCCTGCACACCTGGGTCTCACTCTCCGTCACCCCTCTTCTAATGCGTCTCTATGTCTCTA